CCAACCGCAATTGTCTATCAAATCGTCAGGATTTGATAGACCGTTGTCATCCAACACGATGTCTAGCCACGTGAGCCCCGTTTTCGGCTGGGAGGGGGATACCGTTGGGCCCAAGGCATTGGTTGCTGCCGTCATCACATTGTTCACCTCACTGGACTGCTCTCCTACGAAAGATCCCTGAATGACAATCGTTTGCACTGAGCTCGAACCGAAGTCTTGCATCACAATACGCGCATGGAGCCCCAAATATGGACTCATCACCATGTTCTGACTCCAATACTCTAGCACATCCACGCCGCGATCAATCGGCCATTCCATCGAGAATGATACAGCAGTAGTCGGCACAGGAGATAATTGGAAGCGTAATGCAAGGACTATTCCTGGAAAGACATTCCCACCCCCTCCGCGAGCCGCCCAGAATAAGTCATCGTTGTGCGACGAATTAGCGTATAGCCGCGTGCCGTTGAAGAGAACCACATCGACGCCCAAGAGCTTGTCGATTGTGAAGCCGAGCAGGCGCGTCAGGCGGCCCTTCCCCCCTCCCAGGGTGAGGCCTGCAACACGAACCTGTGCACAAGTGCCTGCTGGGATCACCCAGCCATTGTCGGCTAACCTCTTGTATGCCTCTCCGAGACTGAGCCCAGGGCCCAACACAGCTTGGTCGCCTTCGAAGGTTACGTTCTTGATGTTGCTGACGTCCACCAACACACATGCATTATCGCACATGTATTCGTATATGTTCCCACCCGACCTGGCGTACAAGGACATACCAGCCATTGCTGCACAACGCGTTGCCTGCACAACCTGCTCAGCAGCACTGGCAAACACAACAACTCGGGGTAAGACTTGTTCCGACGTGCGGTGGTTGTGGATCGCCTTGGCAGTGACGAACCCGGTGTCGGTGGGAAGAACCACCTGCGCCGGCACTTCGCACTCCGAGCCACAACTCGGCAGTGGATTTCTCAAGCACGCCTCCAGCTCTGACTCTAGAGGTAGTGGCGAAGGCGTTGGCGGGAAGGGGGCTGGACCTGCTCCACCGCACCACACACCAGGCGACTGGCAACTCGAGTGCGGCACACTCGCGTCCTTGGAGACGCACTCCGAGCAGACGCTGGGATCCCCAGTCTGAGGCCACCAACAGCAAAATGAGCCGTCGTCAACCGGGACTTCTTTGGCACGGACATGAGCAAGCTTTGCCTGCTGACCCTGGCTCACTTGCAACACGCTGATCTCTTCTTCGACCACAGCGTGGCTCTGAACGCATTCTCCCGGATTCCCAGAAGCACAAACTTCCCCGCTCGAGTGTGCGTGGGCTAGAACTGACGCCGCCACACACAGGAGATGGACACGGTACATCTTGACTGGCCACGCCCTAATGCCGCAGAGCTCGATGGGAAGGCTTTGTGGCGTTCGGCGTTCGGGGCATAAACCACTTGAGCCAAAATGGCTACGGGCCTTGTTCTATGTTGTTTTTCCTGAACTGCACGTGGCAGATAAAAGGAGTACACACACATATATATATATATATATATACTAGAACCAATTCCGTGCGCGTCGCGCGCGCTCAGGTTCTAGCAGGCCCCAGGCCTTGACAAATTCACTGCTCCACTAAAGTAGTGGACCACAGTACACGCATGCCAATCTGCATTCCGAAAGGCCTTCGAGGACAATGGTTGTGTAGGGGGGCGGAGGACGTGTGAATCGGGTTCCAAGAAGGCCTTCTGGGAGCATGGGTTTGGGGGCGTCTTGGGGAGCCTGTTGGGGCGTGCCGTCGTCGTCGTCGACGTCGTCGTCGTCTTCGTCGTCGTCGTCGTCGTCGTCGTCGTAATGCGCGCCGTCGTCGTCGTCGTCGTCGTCGTCGTCGTCGTCGTCGTCGTGGTCGTGGTCGTCGTCGTCGTCGTCGTCGTCGTCGTCGTCGTCGTCGTCGTCGTCGTCGTCGTCTTCGTTGTTTCGTCGTCGTCGTCGGTTCAAGAGGGCACTTGGGGCAGTTTTGTGCGAAACGATCTGCGGAGGGCCGCGAGAGGGCGATCAGTCATGTTCCCAATCAACTTCCCAGACAGCTTTCTTATAGCATGATGGTACTTCGAAGCCTCTGGAGACTCGCGGGCCCATGATGAACCATGTCCCCAGAAGGCTTTCTGGGGACATGGTTTGTTGGGGTGTGTTGGGGGGTCTCTTGGGCGTTCCCTGGGGGCCCCTTGGGGGCCTCCGGGAACTCTCGGGCCCATGATGAACCATGTCCCCGGAAGATTTTCTGGGGACATGATTTCTTAGGATGTGTTGGGGGGCCTCTTGGGTGTTCCCTGGGAGCCCCTTGGGGGTCTCTTGGGGCTTCCTGGGGGCCTCTTGGGCGCCTCACGGGGCTTCGTGGGAGCCTCTTGGTGGCCTCCGGGGGCCTACAGGCGGCCTCTAGGGCCAGAGACCTCGAAATATCGGTTGGCGGTCACCCTCTGGGCCCTCTCTTGGGAAGCTCTTGGGGCACAATTGGGATGTCTGGGGAGCCTCCTGGGCCGTCTTGGGGCCCTGTTCGGGGCCTCGTGGCCCGTCTTGGAGCGATCTGAAGGGCCGCGAGGCCGTGAGGGAGCGCTGGGAAGCGGGGAAAGCGAGAACGCTTAAATCCTTCAAAAACCATTGGAAAATTAGTGAATCCCTCTTGGGGAGCCTCTTGAGTCCGTCCTGGAGCGTGTTGGAATCCTCGTCGGCCGTCTTGAGGGCAGCTTGGGCGTCTGCGGAGCCTCTTGGGACCGTCTAGGGCCCTCGGGACCTCCATTAGCCTGTCGTGGCCTGCTTCGGGGCGGGCCCGGGCCGCCTCGGAACCCCTCTGGGCCTTCTCTTGGCGCGCTCTTGGGGCACAGTTGGGTTGTCTGGGGAGCATCCTGGGCCGTCTTGGGTCCCTCGTCGGGGCCTCGTGGGCCTTCTTGGAGCGATCTGAAGGGTCTCCAAGGCCGTGAAGGGAGCGCTGGAAAACGGGAAAAGCGAGAACGCCACAATCCACTCGGAAAACGAGTGTATCTTGCCTTCCAGGGCCCTCTTGGGGAGCCTCTTGAGTCCGTCCTGGAGCGTGTTGGAGTCCTCGACGGCTGGCTTGAGGGCAACTTTGGCGTCTTCGGGGCCTCGTGGGACCGTCTTGGGCCCTCTCGGGGCCCCCTTAGCCTGTCGTGGCCTGCTTCGGGGCGGGCTCGCGCCTCGGGAGCTCTGGACACCCCCGCAACCCCCGGTGGGCACCGATGGGGGGACCAGGCAGCGGCCCGCCCCTCCCCGGGCCTACTCCGAGATAGAGAACCATGCTCTCGGGAAGCTTTCCTGGAGCATGATTTGTTCGGCTCTCTAAAGAGGGGGGCCTCTGGGGGCTTACCGAGTGGCGACTTTTGGCCTTGTCGGCAAGCCTATTCAAAACATGGTTGGGGCGGTGGGCGGAAGCCCAAGGAATCATGTTCCCGGAAAGCTATCTGGGAAATACGATTTACCGGAGTGTTTTGGGGGCCCGCAGGGGGGGTTCCCTGGGGGCCCATGGGGGCCTATTGGGACTTCCGGGGGGCCTCTTGGGAGCCTGACGGGGTTTCTTGGGAGCCTCCTGATGGCCTCCGGGGGCGTCCTAGCCTCTCAGGCTGGAGACCTTGAAATGTCGCGCTCTTCAGGCCCTGTGGGTCGCTCTTGGGGCTCTCTTGGGGCGCTCTGGAGGCCCTCTTGACTTATCTGGGGAGCTTCTTGGGCCGTCTCTGGGCCTTCTTGGGAGCCTCTTCGGCCGTCTTGGAGCGATCTGAAGGGCCTCTGACGCGGTCAGGGACCGTGGGGAGGCGGAACATCGGAGAGCGCAAGAATGCTTCAAAAACCATTGGAACATTCATACTTTTCGGCTCCTGGGGCCCTTTGGAGGGGCCTCTGGAGGCGCTCTTGGGGCGTTTTGGCGGCGTCGTCGGCCGTCCTGAAGCCATCTTCGGCGTGTCCAGGGCCTCTGGGGGCTGTCTTTGCGTGTCCTGCGAGCCCGGGAATCATGTTCCCGGAGGCCTCCGGGAACATTATTTCGAACGAGGCCCTCTGGGCCTCCTGGAGGCCTTTTTGGGGGCCTCCTGGGCCGGCTTTGGGGCCTCTTGGGCCGACCCTTTTGGACCGTCTTGGGCCCTCGTGGGTCTCTCTTGAGCTGTCTTGGGGCTCCTCGGGGGCGTCTGGGGCACTGCGAAGACGAAGCAAGGGAGTATGCTGAATATATATATATATATATATATATATATATATAGCCCGGGCGATCACTACACTGACCAGACGATGAATTTTATCGTGAGGCGAGCGCGAAGGCACCACGTCGGAGCCGCCGCTGTCGAGATTCAAACTGCAGTTGAGATAGGGGGTCAGAGAGTGATCAGCACAGAGCATCTGGACGCCAAGTACCGAAAGCGGGCAAATAAAAGGGAGGGAGGGAGCCTTGAGGATTACGGAGCGATCTTCCTGCGGCCAGCTGCGACACTACTCGGCTTAAAGTGGTGAACACAACCAGCCCGTGCGATCACTACACTGACCAGGCGATGAATTTTATCGTGAGGCGAGCGCGAAGGCACCACGTCGGGGCCGCCGCTGTCGAGATTCAAACTGCAGTTGAGGTAGGGGGTCAGAGAGTGATCAGCACAGAGCATCTGGACGCCAAGTACCCGATCCCGCACAGGAGGATTGGCCGGAACTGGCCGCACTACAGGCCCATAGAAATACATTTCAGCCTATGAGTTTTAAAATTCTCAGCAGCTTGGACCATGCATTGAGCGGCAACATTGGCAAACGAGACAGGGCACGGAGTGGCAAAGCTGGTCCATTTGCGCCCTCCCGGCGCATTACCAGAGAGCTCTATGTGGCGTTTTTTGGTCATACTGCAAAATCCGTGCTTGCCAGAACAGCGCTTGCACAGCGAGGGAGGACTGCCGCCGTGCCAGACGGCTATTCTAGTTGCCTTTTTCAAGGGACGTGATACTGACAGAAATCGCAGCAAGCATCGAAAAAGACGGGGCTACTCATGAGGTCTTTCATGTGCTCAGTCCACCACATAATCGAGGTCCTCGGATTCTCCGGGAAGACGGGAATGTTAGAAGCAATACGAAGTCTGATAAGCATAACGCTGAAGAAGAACGTGGCGTTGCCAATCCTCAAGCGCTCGAGCTCAAACTCAGACAGGTCGTGCACGCCGAGGGGATCCGCACTGCTCCGCAAAGGGCGGCGAAGGGCACGCGCCCACGTAGTACATGGAGTACCTAGCCACAGCGCAGCAATGCAGCCTGACGTTAGCCACCCAACTATGACCTTCTGGAAAGTAGGGTCAAGGTGATCATCACGTGGATTATTGAGCAGATCGAAAGACAACGCACGATACCCAAGCTTCTGAATTGCAGCCGCAATGCGACCACTGCCTGCAAAGAGTTCCAGGAAGACGAGATGCTTCATGAATCGAGGGCGCGGTACAGCACAGGCACGAAAGGCGCGCTGCAGGTAGCGCCGCACCTCGGGCTCTAGGAACTCCCCGGCAGCCCCCCGCCCGGGGCCCAGCAAGGCCGCGATGCGTGGAGGCAGTCGCACCGGCGACTGCGCGCTGTCGAAGCCCTCGGCCATCGCGCTCGCGAAGTTCGCCTCCACCGCGCGGCCGAGCTCGAACACATCCTCGGGCACCGTCGCCATCTCGAGCAGGAGCCGGGTTGTCTTCCCGTACCTCTTGAGGCTCGTGATGGTCGCCCAGCGCCCTCTCACCTTCACCTCTTCCTGGGTCCTGACAGCAGTCGCGAGGTCGTCGCTGGCGCCGCCGTGGCGCAACGAGTACAGGTGCGGGGAGAGCGCCTCGAGGCCGAGGATCTTGACCAGCATGGTGAACTGTTTCTGCAGGTCCGCCGGAGAGAAGTCCCACAGGCTGCCGTCTTCGAGCGACTGGTGCTTCAGCGCCTCCAGACACGGCAGCAGCCACACGCACCTGTCCAGGAGCACCGCGGCGTCGAACATCCCCGTCTTCCCTGGGTCCCCCAGCGATGCGTCGTGGAGCAGCAGGCCCCAAGAGCTGTACTGCCGGCCCGCCACGACCTTCGGGGCGACGAGGTGCTTCCCGCGTAAGAGGAACGCCTCGTGAGGCCTCAGGCACGCCACGAACGTGATCACCACCCACAGGCACATACGCGGGAAGCCCAGGTGGCGGAGGCACCCAGCCAGAGCGAGGGCCGCCGCGCGAGGCAACGGAAGTCGCATGCGCGGCGGGACCCTCCGGCGCCAGGCGACTAGACAGCGGCTGGCCCGCGGCAACTTCGCCGCTGTCGACTTGTAGAGGTCTGGGATGAAGTGCGACAGGCTGGCCAGCAGTTTCGAGCCGTCCTCGACGCTCGCCCCCTCCAGGAAGAGCGCGTTGAAGAACGCGACCAGCAGGGGGTCCAGCTCGCCGGCGCTCTGCCAGTCCGCTCCCATCCCCTGACAGTACTGGAGGAAGTGAGTCGCTATGCCCACGTACAGCACCTCCGTGCCCGGCGCAACGGCCAGGCTCTCCAGCAAGCTGAGGTTGCCCACAGGTGCCCGCGCTGCCGTGAGACGTGAGGCGGAAGCAGCTCGCTGCGCCTTCAGCACCCCGGCTCGCGAGGTCGGCTTCGCCCGCTGGCGTGGGCGCCTGGCCGGCAGGCCCTTTGGCGCCATCGTCTGGATCCGACGCGTCGTGCGGGGCCACGCCGGTGGGCTCCTCTGTCGGCCCAGATGCGTCGACCGATGCATCGACATTAGAGCCAAAACAGCGACCCACAGGGCGAGGAGGTAGGTGAGGGCCCACAAACCAGCCCAGCTTGCCTCTGGAGGGTATATCAGCGGGGTTGACCTCGGACGGGATCCAACGTATGTGAAAGCGCGCCCCAGAGACGAGAGATAAACATGCCAGCTTACGTAAGGGATGAAGCAGATGACGCGACGTCCCTCGGCCCTTGCAAGCCGCCAGAGCTAAGGGCAGGTTGTCCACCAGCAGGACCACGCGACGATTGAAAGCCTCCGATGACCTCAAGATGTGCTTGGCGGCCACCATGAGGGCCCCCCCCTCGAGCTCCAGGATATTGGCGTCCACAAGAACCCTCGACGCGAGCACAGTAACGCAGGGGCCCTTCAGCACGTCCTCGGGCACCTCCTCGAACAAAGCCCCCGAGACCTCAAGGAACTGCTGGAAGTCCTCGATGCCCTCGACCGGCGTGGAGCCCCGCAAAGCGTCTTGAGCGCCACTGAGGGGTCCCACAGGAGGCTGATCAGGCCCAGGTACTGGTGGCCCAGGACAGTGACCCCCGGGCTCAGCGGCAGGGTGACGATCTTTCTCCAGACGTTCCAACGCATGTTTTCTGGCGCGCTCCGCGCCGGCCACCTGGTACCTCCATCGCTCAGCATATCTGCCTATCTCGCCAGACTGTTCGGGCGACACAACACGCGTGCACACTCCGATGCCGAAGAGGGATGCGTCTGATGCAGCAATGACGTTGTGCCAAGGGATGTTGATCTGTGTGAAGAGGAGAGGCAGGATTGAGCGGAAGGTCCACAGCTCTTGCCGCACCCGCGGCCAGAGCTTCTGCGGTCGCTCACCGACTGCGTGCATGAACTGATGAGATGCATTGAAAAGCGACAGCACCTCACGACGTAAAAGGGCTGCCCAGGTCACATGACCCATCACGATCTGGAGCGCCGAGCCGCTGCATACACCACGTCTCAGCAAGGCCTCGATACCGTACCTGAGACGCCACAAGTTAGAAGGCTTGATGGACACCCTGGACCCCTCACTGAAGCTCACCCCCACGAACGAGATATCCTGGCTCGCGGCACTCAGCTCATGAACAGAAAGGCCCAGTGACTCCAAGCGTCTGCACACACTATCCAGCCCGGACTGCACTGCCTTGCGATCCGAACCTAGAATCATGAAGTTATCCACGTATCCTGCACAGGCCGTGTCCGAGCGCTGGACGAGGGATACTGCAGGCAAGCCATCTTCTATGATGCGAGACGATTCGAAACTTTCGAGCTTGAGCGCATGTTGTAGAACACCCTGGCAGATATGTAGTGCCCAAGACCAGCCCATGGGAAGTACACAGACACACGGAGCGATCATGTCACCTGGAGAGACTGGCACCCCATCGACCTCAACGACATCTAAATGCCTAGCTGCTATAGCTGGAAGCCTAAACATCTCGTCAAGTCCCTCTGGAATGGCAAGCCTGTAAAACGCACACTCTATGTACCCTGCCGCGAAAAAGGCGTCGCGCCCCACATTCTCGAACCCGGCAAAAGCCCCGGGAGTGGGGAGGCGCGTCCGAGGGGGGTCAATAAAACTGGTATTCGCGGCACGGGTATCAAAAATCAGTCTGATGTCGCCCGACTTCTTGGCGACAAAAAATATTCCGACAGTGGCGCCACGACCGGCAGCCCTCCGATACCGCACCATCCCTCGCTGCCTAAGCTCAGAGACAAAGTCGCCATAGGCGAGAGGGTTGTTCTTCAAAATCGGATCGGTGTAGGGGCCATTCGGGCAAAGTTCCGCACGCAAAGAATCAGCGGCAGCAGGCGATCTTAGCATATGATCGCGCCAGAGACCGAGCCACTTCGAGTCGGCCTGCGCCAGGCAATCGGACAGACAAGTCGGCGCGTTGCCACGCGCAGGCCAAGAGACTTTGCTCTTGACGTACGGCCGTTGGGTAGAGGATTCATCAGAGTAGAGACCTGGCCCTGCAAAGAGCGCGTCGAGGGCTCCCTTGCGAAAAGTGGGGTCGCCTGGCGGCGGCGGAACACTGAGATAAGCCGTCTCGATGTTGCGAAGTGCCGCGGCCTGGCCGGCGTTCCGCACATCCGACGACGGTGTGCTGAAGCCAAAAAGATGGTTGAGGCACGACGTCCCGTCTGAGGCCCAATCTATCGCATGCCGGCAAGAGGCCAGCCTGCGGGTCGCGCCCCGAGACAGCGAAGCGCCACCAGACCGAGGAAGACTGTGACAGCTGGGCAGCGGCAAAGGAAAGATGTCTCTGTGCCTTCCCGGGCACTGCAAGCCTGCCTCCGTGCAGCTAATTTCGGCTCGTGCAGGGCCAGCCGGGGGCGCGGCTGGCGGGGGTGACATCACCCCTGCCCCGACTGCTCCCCCTTGGCCCCCTTCTTCGGGCGCGCGAGAGTGCGTTCCTCGCGCGCCTTGCGGCGCTCCTTCATGACGGCGTACTCCTTGGACAGCTCTGACGCGATCCACTGAGAAAGTTCGGGCATGACACATAGATTGCCTCGCGCCAGGTCCGTGCCCCGGACAAGGTTAGAATCGAGGCGATCATCGCTGCTGCCGGCCACCTTATCGCGATAGCGTTCCTCGGCAACTTGCATCTCGCGGGCGGCGATCTCTGCAGCAGCAATATTTGAAACATTCACCTGATCATAGCACGCTAAAGTCTCGAGAAGCCTGCAGCCGCCTTCGTGCGAATCGACGCTTGGATCGCCGGGCTGCAGTCTACAATCAGCACGCCACCGATTATGCCTTCCTAGCGGGGTTCCCCCGTTGGACAAGATGAATCTACAAACCCACAGCGTCGTCCTCGGACCCCTGATGGGCCAGTCTGGCCACGGATCCTCAGTGAAGAGAGAGACCGCATCCCTGAACTCCCGGAATCGGGAGCCCGTGGCGTCATACATGACAGGGTTGGTGCGAGCATCCGTTCCCCCTCCAGGCGGCGGCTGCGCGCCGGCTGCGGCGACCGCGAGAGGAGGAGCCGCACCTGCCGGCGCTCCACCCCCACCCCCAAGGCCTCCCGCCTCGGCGGCAGGAGCGGCTCCTCCAGGAGCACCTCCCCCAGCTGCCGCGGCTGGAGGCGGGCCCAGCGCAGCAGCGAGACGCGCCAGGCCCCCTCCAGGAGCCGGCGCTGGCCCCCGCGGCGGCTCCACCCGCCGCGGCGGGCACTAACGCGGCGGGAAGCGCTGCTGCCGGCGCAGCTCTAGCGACGAGGGCCCCGGGACCCGGACCAGGGACACCATCGACCCCACCATGGGGCCGCCCCCGCGGACTGGAGGTCCGGCAGCCCCGCCCCCCCCCGCGTCTGGCGGACCTCCCGCGGCGGCAGGAGGTCCACCCAGCAGAGGATGCACGTTGCCGGCAGGCGGGGCCAGGCCCATGCGACGATAACCAGCAGCACGAGCCGAGGTCAGCTGAACGACCGTGGGGATCGCCCTGAACCGGTAGTACGCAGCATTCGGGCCGGCCTGAGGCACCACACCGTTCGGACCAGCAGTAGCACACCAATCGAGAACGTCAGCACCGATGATGAGGTCCTCCTCGTACTCGTCCAGATCGGGCGTCATGCTCGTCACGCCAACGAGATAGTTAGGGGGCGTGCCACAGCAGATGCGGGTGTGCCACAACTCACGACCGCCGACGTTGTACCTCATGGCGAAGAACTCCCCCTCACGAAGCCCGAGGGGGTGGGCGACTGCGGCTGGCGCCGCCATCACTGATGAAGGGCTGGCAGCACCCGCTTGCGGATCAACGCCTGCTGACGGCGGGCAAGCTCGGCAATGTCCTCCTCCTCGGCCTGTGCTGCGGCCTCAAGTGCTGGAACAAGTGCGGAAACCACTGGCGCCGGCGGCGCCCGACGCTGGCACCCGAAGAGCCCGCCTCTCGCGAGCTGGTGTCCGGCGACCAAGCCGGTGAGGAAGGTGGCCAGCACCAAGCCCGTCTGCTCCACGGGGTTCGCCCTCTCGTGGAAGACCTCCTTGTACTGCGTCGGCTCCACGGCCGGGCAGTCACAGTGCACCACAGGCTGGCACACGGGGCAGGGCGGCGGAGTGTGTGCCCAGAGCAGGAGGCTATTCGATATCCCCCGAGCAAGCTCTGGGATCGCACCTCTGACAAACTGCATAGGCTGGGCCTGCTTGAGCCTTGAGGATTACGGAACGATGTTCCTGCGGCCAGCTGCGACACTACTCGGCTTAAAGTGGTGAACACAACCATATATATATATATATATGTGTATATATATATATATATATATATATATATATACGTTTTACTATGGGGACGGGCTGAATTTTGCCTCTTGAAGGCCCTCGTGGGGCCCTCTTCGGCCATCTTCATTCCATCTCGGGCCATCTTGGGCCTCGCTGAGGCTGTCCTGGGGCCTGGGAGCCAGGAAGTCATGTTCCCGGAGAGGCTTTTGGGAACATGATTTTGAACGGGGCCCTCTTGGGCCTTCTTGAAGCCGTCTTGGGAGCCTCCTGGGCTCGCTTTGGGGCTTCTTGGGTCGTCTTGGGGGGTTCCGTGAGTCTCACAGGTTGACCCTTTTGGGCCGTCTTGGGCCCTCTTGGGTCTCTCTTGGCTGTCTTGGAGCTCCGCGGGGGCGTCTGGGGCACTGTGAAGACGAAGCCAGCGAGCATGCTGAAAATATACGTTTTACAAAAGGTAATGGGCCGATTTATGCCTCTTGAAGGCCCTCTTGGGGCCCTGTTCGACCATCTTCAAGCTATCTCGGGCCCTGTTGGGCCTCGCTGAGGCTGTCCTGGGGCCCAGTAGGGGGCCCTGGGAACCAGGACGTCATGTTCCCGGAGAGGCTTCCGGGAACATGATTTCGAACGGGGCCCTCTTGGGCCTCCCTGAGGCCGTCTTGGGAGCCTCCTGGGCCGGCTTCGGGGCCTCTTGGGCCGTCTTGAGGGGTTCCGTGAGCCCCACAGGCCGACCCTTTTGGGCCGTCTGGGGCCCTCTTGGGTCTCTCTTGGGCTGTCTTGGGGCTCCTCGGGGGCGTCTGGGGCACTGCGAAGACGAAGCCAGCGAGCATGCTGAAAATGCTAGTTTTAGAAAGGAAATGGGCCGATTTGTGCCTCTTGACAGCCCTCTTGGGGCCCTCTTCGGCCATCTTCAAGCCATCTCGGGGCCTCGCTGAAGCTGTCCTGAGGCCCTGGGAACCCAGAAATCATGTTCCCGGAGAGGCTTCCGGGAACATGATGTCAAACGGGGCCCTCTTGAGCCTCCCTGAAACCGTCTTGGGGGCCTCCTGGGCCGGCTTTGGGGCCTCTTGGGCCGTCTTGAGGGGTTCCGTGAGCCCCACAGGCCGACCCTTTTGGGCCGTCTGGGGCCCTCTTGGGTCTCTCTTGGGCTGTCTTGGGGCTCCTCGGGGGCGTCTGGGGCACTGCGAAGACGAAGCCAGCGAGCATGCTGAAAATGCTAGTTTTAGAAAGGAAATGGGCCGATTTGTGCCTCTTGACAGCCCTCTTGGGGCCCTCTTCGGCCATCTTCAAGCCATCTCGGGGCCTCGCTGAAGCTGTCCTGAGGCCCTGGGAACCCAGAAATCATGTTCCCGGAGAGGCTTCCGGGAACATGATGTCAAACGGGGCCCTCTTGAGCCTCCCTGAAACCGTCTTGGGGGCCTCCTGGGCCGGCTTTGGGGCCTCTTGGGCCGTCTTGGGGGCTCCGTGAGCCCCACAGGACGACCCTTTTGGGCCGTCTGGGGTCCTTGGGCTGTGTTGGGGCTCCGCGGGGGCGTCTGGGGCACTGTGAAGACGGAGGCAGCGAGTGTGCCGAAAATGCAGGTTTTACGAAGGAGATGGGCCGATGTTTGCCTCTTGAAGGCCCTCTTGGGGCCCTCACGGGCCCTCTTGGGGCGCTCTTGGGCGTCTTCGGGGCGTCTTCGGGCTTTCTTGACCATCTGTACGGCCCGCGTGGCCTGTCGTGGGCAATTTGGAAACGGCCCGGGGCAGTCCCGGGGGGTCTGTGACCCCCCAAAGGTTGGGGGGGGCGGCCATGGGGGATGGCGGCACCGGTTTGGCCCCCCCCCCTGCTAGAACCATCGCGCGCGCTTCGCGCGCGCTCAGGTTCTAGCAGGCCCCAGGCCTTGACGAATTTACTTCACTGCTTCACTGAAGTAGTGGACCACAGTCCACGCATACCAATCTGCATTCCGAAATGCGTTCGAGGAAAATGGTTGTCGTATGAATCGGGCTCCCAGAAGGCCTTCTGGGAGCATGGGTTTGGGGCGTCTTGGGGAGCCTGTTGGGGCGTGCCGTCGTCGTCGTCGTCGTCGTCGTCGTCGTCGTCGTCGTCGTCGTGTTGCTACGACCCATTCCCGAACCTGACCTTGGGGGTGGCCTAGCCTGGCGCAGCCCCGATTGGCAACAGACCCGACACGTTCCGTCCAAACTGAACGCCAGGTTCGCACTCGCCCAGCACGAAGGGACGGCAGCTGCGGTCGCCAATTGTCTCGCGCCGAGTCCGTACGTTTTACTACGGGAACGGGCTGATTTTTGCCTCTTGAAGGCCCACTTGGGGCCCTCTTCGGCCATCTTCAAGCCATCTCGGGAGGGCCTCGCTGAGAATGTCCTGGGGCCCTCTCGGGCGTCCTCGGAACCCGGAAATCATGTTCCTGGAGAGGCTTCCAGGAACATGATTTCGAACGGGGCCCTCTTGGGCCTCCCGGAGGCCGTCCTGGGGGCCTCCTGGGCTGGCTTCGGGGCCTCTTGGGCCGTCTCGGGGGGTTCGGTGAGCCCCACAGGCAGACCCTTTTGGGCCGTCTGGGGCCCTCTTGGGTCTCTCTTGGGGCTCCGCGGGGGCGTCTGGGGCACTGCGAAGACAAAGCCAGCGAGCATGCTGAAAATGTACGTTTTACAAAGTCAATGTGCAGATTTTTGCCTCTTGAAGGCCCTCTTGGGGCCCTCTTCGGCCATCTTCAAGCCATCTCGGGCCCTCTGGGGCCTCGCTGAAGCTGTCCTGGGGCCCAGTAGGGAGCGCTGGGAGCCCGGAAGTCATGTTCCTGGAGAGGCTTCCGGGAACATGATTTCGAACGGGGCCCTCTTGGGCCTCCCTGAGGCCGTCCTGGGGGCCTCCTGGGCCAGCTTCGGGGTCTCTTGGGCCGTCTCGGGGGGTTCGGTGAGCCCCACAGGCCGACCCTTTTGGGCCGTCTGGGCCCTCTTGGGTCTCTCTTGGACTGTCTTGGGGCTCCTCGGGGGCGTCTTGCGGCTGTCTTGGGCCGTCTTGCGGCGGTCTTGGGAGCCTCTTCGGCCATCTTGGGGCCGTCTTGCGCGCGTTGGAGCCGCCGTGACTCATCTGGAGCCCCTCGTGGAGCCCTCCGGAGCTGTCTTGGGGCCCTCCAAGAGCCGTCGTGGGAACGAACGAACGAACGAACGAAGCTGCCGACGCTGGGAGTCCGGCGACCCTACAAGGGCGGCAGGCGCGCCAAACGCGCTGGCCTCCGGGGAGGCCGGGTAGCTGATCAGGTGCGAGACAATTACATGCAGCCAAACGCTGCTGCGAAGAAGCCAAACGCTCCCCGCAAGATGATGAAGATAGATCGATGACGACGACAAATAAACGGATTAACGCCACATGCTTTGAACGTACTCATCTTCAAAAGGTTGCCAAGTCTCAGATATTGCCGCCATGTCGCTCCACGATTCCCATCCTTTGTCTTTTGCAAAAGAAACAATGTCGTCGTGGGAGCCGCTTGAAACCCTCGGGGGCCGCGTTGGTGCGGTGTAGAACGCGTCGTGGGCCGTCTTGGAGCGTCGGACAGGCGGGAAGGTCTACATGCCAAAAATCAGCGCTTTCCCACAGGAATGAAACGATTTGTGGCTATTGAATCTCTGTTCGCAAGGCTGTGGGAGCCATCTTAGAGCGTCTGGAGGGCCTGGTGGGCTATCTTGGGAGCCTCATGGAAGCCATTTGGGGCCTCTTGCGGCTACTTCGGAGGCTTCTTGAGACTGAGGGCTCGAATTTTCGGCGAGGGGGCCACGATCCTCGTGAGGGGGTGCCAAAAAATGGCCCGGGGGGGCCGCCGTGGCGACCAGAGGCAGCAGCCGGGCCCCCCCCCCGGCCTACTCCGATATTATATATATATATATATACACATATATATATACACCCAAGAGGGGTACGATCGAGGACGGAGAGGGCGGGTATCGAGGGTTTGGGACATACATGGTCATTGACACGCGATCGGATAAGAACGAACAATCTGAAAATGATTATTGGTGCTGTTGTCTGTTGTCGACCGCCCCACCCCCCGCGACCCACCCCGCGACCCACCCGCGATCCAGACTGCGACCCACCCCGCGGCCCACCCGCGACCCAACCACGCTGATTTTACCCCAAAATCTGGACGTGCGGCGGGCTAGAACGGAACAGAAATCGGCGCCTGCGGCGCGATTCTTCAGAGCCTGGCAGATGTAGACGCCCGGAGTGGGTACGGAAAGAATGGGTACAATGCCCAACAACAAATGCTGTCCAAAGCCAACAGCGGCCACTGTTGGGCAGGCGGCCTTCTGTCTCAAATGGGCACAGGCCGCGGCGACACCGACAGCGAGTCCTGTTCAACATGAACAGGAACTGCTGTTGGGCATTGCACCCATTCCTTCCGTACCCGTTCAGTCCGTGCCGAGCCAGAGTGCCGACGACCCCGCCGCCCCCTCACTCTCATCCGCAATTGCGGGGGGCTGCGCGATGGTGTGGCGAAGCGGGCTGCCCCAACAGGGGCCCGGGCAGCCTGCGCCCGGCTGGCTTCCGCCGAGCTTTGGGCGCCCGAGTTATCCGGGGTAATTCGGGTCCGGGGTAACTCGGGTTTGGGTTCCCGAAAAAGGAACCCGAGTTACCCCTGACCCGAGTTACCCCTGATGATTCGGGGCTCTTGGACGCCCGAGTTATCCGGGGTAACTCGGGTCCGGGATAACTCGGGTTCGGAATCCCGAAAAGCGAACCCGAGTTAGCCCTGACCCGAGTTACCCCTGATGATTCGGGGCTCTGAGCAATTGCGGGGGGCTGCGCGATGGTGTGGCGAAGCGGGCTACCCCAACAGGGGCCCGGGCAGCCTGCGCCCAGCTGGCTTCCGCCGAGCTGGCTACCTAGGGCTCCCAACTTCGCGCTTCGCGCTGCGCGAAGCGCGAATAACTTCGCGCTCTCGCGCCGCCCTCCCAAAGGGAGAATAGGAGGACGAGGAGGAGGGGGAGAAGGAACGAGGACCGCGAAGCGCGAAGCGCGAATAACTTCGCGCCCTCGAGGGCGCCCTTGGCTATCGCACGGCAGGCTCTTGCCGTCACGGCCTGCGCACGGGCTCCCGGCACCGCGCGGATCTTTACACCCTCCGATAGGGTGCGGCACCGGCCGTGAGGCCTTCCGGTGGGGGGAGGAGGAGCGGGGTCGGGGCAGACCACAAACTGCCTATAGGCCACTCGAACTGCCGTGCTGCCCCACTCCTCCTCCTCCTCCTCCTCCTCCTCCTCCTCCTCCTCCTCCTCCTCCTCCTCCTCCTCCTCCTCCTCCTCCTCCCACTCCTCCCCCTCCTCCTCCTCGTCCTCGTCCTCGTCCTCGTCCTCCTCCTCCTCCTCCTCCTCCTCCTCCTCGAGAGCACACACACACACACGAAGAACAGCAGTGGGGGGGGCACACAGGTGCCGACTAGAACCACGCGCGCGCGCTTCGCGTGCGCCTAGGCTCTAGCCAGACCCAATCCTTGACAAGCTCACGGCTCCACTGATGCAGCTCCATCTCATGACGTGCGACGTCATGCCCGGCAGCGAAGTCAGTGTAGAGAGTGCAACAGCAGGACAATGCAACACATGTCCATGGAACGCAGATGTGTGGTCGATGCACCGCAAGCATTGCAATCAGAAGTGAGGCCAACATCAACAATACCATGCGATCCGATACAGGTCAATTCAAACCACCGCCATGCGAAACGTAGCAAGAAGAACCAAGACGGAACACGCATGCATATACAACGCAAGCGAAACATAATCATTACACAGCCATGCAGCTCAACACGACACATAGAGCCGAACGAACCCGAGAACCTGTAGCAACTCAAAGATCTCAGAAGCAGAGCACCCTAAGAAGATCCGAACAGCGTCCCAGGAATACCTTGGGGAGGCTCAAAGGGCAACCCGAGGAACCCCGAAGAACGCCGCTAGAGAAGCCCCAATGGGCCAAAGACTGCTTCAAATAAGGTCTGAAACGGAGAGGACCAGCACCCTGATCCGAACAAAACACATGCCTGAAACTAAAGTAATCGATGGTTTCGCGATTGTACCGATTCGTTGTGGCTGAAATTGGGCTGTTGGCGGGCAGGCGATTAGCTCTGCGCATCGAAGCATGCCAGCCGGCAGCAAGCCAGGGGCAAACCTGCTTGGCACCGAAGGCCGAATCTTCCCTGAGGGGCAACGCTGCGGAGAATCCACAATCTAGGCCAAGGGCCAGGGACCCGTTTCCTGTCCGAATCTGAGCCGCCAGGCGCATCCGATTCGCACAGTAGGAGGAGGAAGAGGAGGAGGAGGAGGAGGAGGAGGAGGAGGAGGAGGAGGAGAAGGAAGAGCAGGTGACGAAGGATAGCTGAAAGAAGAGGGGAGGGAGGGGTCAAGAGTCCTGAGGGAGAGGAGGAGGTGGAGGAGTAGGAGCAGGAGGAGTCTTTGGAATCTCTGCCTGATCGCGTAGGGATGTATGACGTTAAAACTCCGACACCCCTATGCAGGGTGTTCTTGGCTCTGGAGGTCTAGGAGGAGGAGGAGGAAAATGAGGAGGAGGAGGAGAAGGAGGAGCAGCAGGAGCAGGAGGAGGAGAAGCAGGAGGAGGAGCAGGAGGAGCAGGAGGATGAAGAGGAGGACGACGGCGATGGTGACGGGGGGGGAGGGTCGGGGGGGCACGAAGGAGGCTGCCGACCAGGAGGAGGAGGAGGAAGGGACGGCGGAGGGGAGGGAGGGAGAAGAGCTTGCAGAGTCGCAGGACCAGCCAGCAGCCGGGGCGGCGGCGGCTTGGGGTCTGTTGGGGGCCTCGTGGGGATTTTACGGGGGCGTTCTGGGGGCGTCTTCGAAGCATGTTGGAACCACTTGCGATCGTCTTCGGTGCGGCCAGGGCGTTCGTGCGGCCTGTACATTCGGGCCTCGTGGAGGCCTCTTGGGGTCTCTGGCGGCCTGCTGGAGACTCCTGGGGGCCCTCCTGGGGTCCTTTTGGGGGCCTCCTTGAGGGCCTCCGGAAAGATGCTCCGGGCCTCGTGGAGCTTTCTTGAGGGCGTCTTTGGATCTTTGGGAGGCCTCCTGGGAGCATCTTGGAGGTGCTTCGGCCAGTGGGGCCCTCTGGAGCTGTCGTGAACGTCTCTTGGGGAATCTTGAGGCTCTCCTGGGCCGGCTGAAACCTCTCGAGGCCGTCTTGACGAGGATTCGGGGCAGTATCGGGGCACCCTCGGGGGGGGTGGGGGGGTCCCTAAATGCGCGCCCAGCCCCTAGCACCTAATTACATGTGTGGTATGAGGTCGAGGGCCCCGGGCTCCCCAGCCCAGTCCCCTACACGCCGCTACTCGTCGAGCCTCTCACTGGGGGCGCTCTGACCAGGACTTCGAGGCGAGTCCAGATGTGGCGACGAGAGACGGGCAGCGGCGTCGGTACCTGTCACCTCCTCTGAAGAGCTCCCCTCTCAAGGTGGGATGGCTCCAAACCCTCGTGCCGGCTGCGCGGATCCCGGATGCCTCAATAACTAGAATGTGACCTTGCGCGCACAGGTTTACACATCCGACGTCTTGCTTGTTCAATGCGCTGCGGGAGGGAGGGAGGGAGGGAGGGAGGGAGGGAGGGAGGAGGAGGAGGAGGAGGAGAATGTAGGAGGGAGGGGGGAGGAGGAGGGAGGAGGAGGAGGAGGAGGAGGAGGAGGAGAGGAGGAGGAGGAGGAGGAGGAGGAGGAGGAGGAGGAGGAGGAGGATTTTTTTTTAGCACCGATGCTTCCGCTGCATGCACAAGGCACACTGGGCCCAGCGACGCGCCGCCGCGCCCGCCGCCCCGGCGCGGCGCCCCGCGCGCCCGGCCGGCGGGCGAGCCCGGCCGGCACGACGCGGGGAAAAAACGACGGGGACCCCAGAGAAAGGGGCAGCGCAACGCCGCCTTTAGCGAAAGACGGCGCCGCGCCACCCGCCCCCAGGGAACCGGGACCGGGCCCCAGGACCGAAAAAAGGACCGGACCCCAGGACCGACCCCCCCCAAAAAAAGAAAAAAGGCGGCACGACACGACACGACACGACGGGGGACGAAACGGCCACGACCGACACGCACGACACGACACGGACGAACGACACGACAGAGACGAGCCGCCGGTCCCGCCCCAGGACGGCGAGTGCTGGGGGGGGACCCAGCACCGCCCTGGGGGAGGCCACGGGACCTGGCGACCCCCCCGGGGGAAGGAAACCGCACTTTGGCGGCGTCCCCCGGGGAGCGGGGGCTTTTCGCCCCGAGGGCCCGGCGGTCCCCGCCTCCGCCAGGGGGCCGAAGCCCGACCCCACTCTTGGGGGCCCCCCCGGGGTGGAGGAGGAGGAGGAGGAGGAGGAGGAGGAGGAGGAGGCGACCCTTTCCCTGGAGCAGGTGTGCTCGACCCGCTGCTCGACGGTCCAGTCCAGTCCAGAGGCCCACACCTTCCCGTCGTCGGTGCCTCAAGGTGCGAAGGTGTCTGGGGCTGCGGCTGGGCACCGCCTTCCTCCTTCAGCTCTCGTGCCCGCGCGCCTCTCCGCAGGGCAGGTGCGCGGGCCCTGCCACGCTGGGTGCCCGCCGCAGGAAGGCCCAGACTTCAGTACTCTCCTCCTCCTCCTCCTCCTCCTCCTCCTCCTCGACCTCCTCCTCCTCCTCGTCCTCCTCCTCCTCCTCCTCGTCCTCCTCCTCGACCTCCTTCTCCTCTTCTTTCGCCTCCTCCTCCTCCTCCTCCTCCTCCTCCCCTTTCTTGTCCTCCCCCTCTATTTTCGCCTCGTTCTGCTTTGCTACAACATCCTCATCTTCCTCTCCGTGTGCCTCCTCCCTTCATCTTCCCCCCCCTGGCACAGGTCGCAGCGGGAGCGCTCAGCCTTCAGCACGCTCTTCAGGAGCACCTGCAGGGGCCAAAAGAACGATCGCCTCCTCCGATTAGCCTAGCCTAAATCTGGACCCCCCCACACGACGAAAACACCATTCGAACGACCACATACGCCGATGCAGAAACAGCTCTCCAGCCGTGGAGATAGGGAAGACCCCTTGGGATGTAACGAAGGCGATGTACGGGAAGGCGCCAGAGAGGGAGAGGGGGGGGGAGAGAGAGAGAGAGAGAGAGAGCGAACGAGAGAGAGAGAGAGAGCAAGCGAGACAATCCGAGCGAGAGAGAGAGAGAAGACGCGCAACAAGACACGGGCAATGAAACAGACATGCAGTAACAGCTGCAGCGATATGCGGATCATGAAATATAGTGTACAAGCGAGAGAGCGACAGATATATATATATATATATATATATATATATATATATATATATATATATATATATATAGAGAGAGAGAGAGAGAGAGAGAGACAGAGAGAGAGAGAGGGAGAGAGAAAGAGAGTGGGAACAAAACGCCAAGAGGACAGGGCTAAACCAGACCGAACTGGACAGGATCAGAGAGGGCAAGACCGACAATCAGAAGGGCGGGCTGGCTGACTGCCAAGGCGGGAAAGCATGCGGCCGAACGTATCGGCCGTGGGGGACTTACCCCTGCCCCCTCGACGTTCCACCTCCCACCTCCTCCCATCCCGTCCCCCTCCTGCCCACCCTCTCTGCCTCATTCGTCCGTCCCCCCGTCCCTCTTCTCCCGTGCGACTCGCTGCTTCTCGGGTTACTGAAACTTCTCGTGGGAAAGGCTGTCGCCATGTCCATTGCAATCACCCCCGCGTGGAATGCAAATCTCGAGTGCTCCACGAAACATCGCCTTGGCGCCTCATAGACAATCGACCGTTCGAGAAACCCGCGTACAATATAATTCCTGCTACCCCTATCGAGCATGCAACGCCCCGTAACAGGAAACTTGGAGTCAGATGGCGTGTAGCAACTGCTTTTTGTGATCGAATGGTATGCTGGTATGCTGTCCTGGTCAGCTGATATGCTCGTAGGTGGCGCCCGTGAACTGGTATGCTGCTCTGATCGAGTGATATCCAATATCACTTACAATCCCCACTTCGCGAGAAGACCGCTGCCACTGACGTAGGCCGAAAGCATGGCAAATGTTGGCCCCATACTGATCCCGCGAGCTATCCTAGGACCCCCAGCAACTCGCGGAGGGAACCTTGTCGCGCAGGCGAGAGCCCAACGCTTCCCTGAACACTTCATCGTGGTCTGCAACCGCGCGCGCCCTTCCTCTCCTCCCTTCCATTGCTTCCCCACCCTCTCCCCATGCGTATCACTCCCCGTCCATCAACCGCACCGAACCGCACTCTGACGCGATGCGCAGTCTGGCGGAGCATCCAGGCTACGCTTCGCGCGGTCCACTGCTCTGCAGCACGGGGAAGGAGTACGATGCGAACGAAGAGGAGAACGAGGACGAAGAGGATCCGATCAGACACCCGCTCTGGGGAATTATCCTCGACAACTCCCGAAAGCTAGCACGCCCTATGACCTTCGACCATGATCCCAAACCAACAAATACCTCTTTTCGATCATTCCACGGTTGCCGGGCGAGTGTAACAAGTTGGAGGCAGACGTACTCGAAGAAAGCACGCCAAGGAATAGGTTCTTCCACCCCCCCTCCTCCAACATATCCTGATCCTCCTCATCTCACCCCCCCATCCCCACGACTTCCTCCTCCCATTCGAGTTCCTCGTCGCTACTCTTGACTCCGCCTGGTCCTCCTTCATCGCCCTTTCATCGCCCTTCCCTCTTCTTCCTCTGCCACCTTATCCAGGACCCGCTTCTCCTCGTCCTTCTCGTCCTGGCGCTCGCTCGCTTCCTGGTCATCCTTGCCCTTGCTCTCGTCCAAGTCATCGTCGTCCTCCTCTTGTTCCCGGAGGCCTCTCGACGCCTCCAGAGGGTAACACAGAGCGCTGTACCTACACACCACCAGGCCAGGCATGGTGGTCGTGTACAGTCAAACGCCCAGCGCTTCGATTGGCTCGATGTGTAGGCCCCTGGACCTCCCGACCTCCTCCCCAGGACTGGCTCTCCATCCCGAGCCGATGTTTGACCGTCTAGAAACACGAAGCCGTCCTCAAAGGGCCAGCAACAAAAATGGCCAGCCAGTCGCCTTACTTCTTCGACGCGCCAGATGTCTTGGTAAGTGCCTTCTGCGGATCGGTGGTAGCGACGAAGCTGCATGCAGCTGGTTTTTCCTGGCGCCTCCAGTCGCCAGTGTATCCAGGAACGCGCCCGGCGGCAAGGCCGAAATAAGCTGCATGCATAACATGTCGCACCCCTCCCTTTACCAATCCCTTCGTCCGACCCAACCCTCGGGACCGTGTTTTCTTCACCAGGGCAGCAGGAAGCAGGCAAAGGCGAAACACCTCCAGGGCTTAAAGGGCCCCGGAAACGACAAGGCCGTTTTTTGACCGGTTCCGTTTTGCCGTTTTTGTTGCTGGTTCCGACGCCGTTTTTTTACCGGTTCCGTCGCCGTTCTTTTACGGGTTCCCGCTCCGGTTCCAATCCTGGAGCCGTTTTTGTTGCCGTTTCCGGTCGCCGTGTTTTTCGCCGTTTCCATTTTCAAGGGAAACTTGTTCGGAAACGGTGAAAAAACGGTCCTGCCGTTTCGGGGGCCCACTAAACTCCAGGGCCCATCTCCTCCAGGACCCGTTCTCCTCGTGCTGATCCAGCCCGCCTCCTCGTAGCCCCCCAGATATACGAACTACGTGCTTCTTTACAGGGGCCCAGGGACACACAAATGAAAACACACAGATACCAGGATCCCCCATAGCTTCGCATATTTTTGGGATTTGTGTCTTCCCCCCCACTTCCCATATTTTCCCATATTTTCTGGGGAATCGATGATTGATTGTGTCTGTGTGATTCTTCCCCTCCCGATTCTTGCAGTCCGCGGGCCCAGGCCCCGACCCCAGCCGCAGGGACAGCTCCTTCCGCGCCGGACCCGCTGCGGATGGCGCTGGGGCCGAGACGCCGACCCTGCAGGCCGAAGTCGGCCCCAGGCGCAAGGACCGCTCTCCTCGCCGGACCCATTGTTGATGGCGCTGGGTCCCAGAAGTTCGCATAAAGCATCTATACACCACCACCGTGCAAGGCCAGGGCCGTCCTGGGCCCCAGGATGGTGTATACGCCCTCTTGGCCGAGGCCAAGAGGGTCTATACACCATCCTGGGGCCCAGGATGGCCCTGGCCTGGTACGGCGGTGGTGTATAGATGCCTTCGTCGGAAGAAGTCGACCCTGCAGGCCGAAGTCGGCCCCGGGGTAAAACGAGGGGCACAACTGAGCCAAGAACGGACAAACGAATGTGACCCCCCGGTAGGTTCACTGAGTCAAAGAGCCCAAGAACGAGAACTACGCCAGGGTTGAACACATCAAGTCGCTGGAGGTATAGGTCTTCTTCGTGCATGATCTGTCTGACCTCCTCTGCCAAGACCGTCCACGGCAACAGCACAACAGAAAACCGAGAGACCCGACAGTGAAATCGAAACCTTCAGGCCGCAAGCAGCTTAAAAGAGCGCAGCGGCGCAACAACGACACAGAAGCCGACCTAACCGAACCGACCGAACGCAACCGACTGCGACGCAGCCGAACTAATCGATCCGCAGACATTTGGGGAATTTGATGCGCGAGCTCTTAGACCTCTCGATCCTGAGTCACTCTCTGACGGTCCCAGCCAAGCGAGGGCCTCCGGAGGCCGACAAGTTGCCCCCAAAAAACCTTCGTGTTCGCCGGGAGGCCTAGCATTCGGGCCACACTCGGGTCCCCGGCGGCCGCTCGGGACGACTCGGCCCCCCCCCCCCGGGACGCCCCCTCGGCGAGGCGCAGCTGCTGGAAAGAGAGGCTCCCAAACTCCAAAACATGTTCTTTTTGGGCGGAATCTGCGAAGCCCTCAAGAACCTCGAGGGGCCCTCCAAGACCTCGAGAACCTCGGGCCCTCGAGCACCCCCAAAGCCTCTGCACCTCGGGCATCCACGAGCACGCTCGAGGACCTCGAGCCTCGAAGCAAAAGGCCGGGGCCCGTGCCGCTCCTCCTCCTCCTCCTCCTCCTCCTCCTCCTCCTCCGCCTCCCCCTCCTCCTCCTCCTCCTCCTCCCCCCCCCCGTGGCGCCTGGATGATCGGGCCGACGGTCGACTCGCCGACCTCCTCGGCGAAGTCCTCGGCGCGCGCCCGGGCCGCGGCGGCCGCTGGGCGTTGCCAAGGCAGGGGCGGGAGGAGGAGGAGGAGGAGGAGGAGGAGGAGGAGGAGGAGGAGGAGGAGGAGGAGGAGGAGGGGGGAGGAGGAGGAGGAGGAGGAGGAGGAGGAGGAGGAGGAGGAGGACACGCACACGGCTTGGGATTGTTCGATGTCCGCCGCGAGAGAGCGCGGCCGACTATGGAGGGCTTTGTGCCTCCTCTCCCTGGGTCTTGGCACGCTCCTCGCGCACCAGCTGGGCCAGGGGAATAGCGGGGGTCTTAGAAACGATCGGGGACGACTTTGTGCCCTTTGGATCTCGACCCTCTTGGACGCGGGCTAGCTGAGTGGCCGCTCCTTGGTGGCTCACTCTAGTGCTGCACGCACTAGTGAGCCCTCGACCCAACCCCTCAGAGAAGGATCCACACTTATGGCAAACCAAGATACTCGTCGGGTGATCAAGGTGCTCGTAGTAAAACAAATCATGGCCTTTATTATCATGCACAAGATCGGAAAGCTGCTTGCAGTGGCCTGGGCAATGCTGGGCCTGTAAAACTCCCCGCTGTTTGAACGACTTGGTCTGCACCCTACACAGGATGCGCCTATGGTACTGATGGATGAGAGCCCACGTGTGGTACCTGAAGGGCTCTCTGGGCTCCTCGTGGGGCTCAGGAGGAAGCGGAGGGGGGGGAGGCTCGACCGACGACGGCGGCGCCCACGACGTAAGGGCAGAGGCGGCACCCGAGGGGGGAGACAAACTCTTCTCTGGGGCGGCCAAGGCTTTGTTACGGTGAGGGGCGATCGCGGGCCACTCTCCCAGAGCCTGAGCAACATACTTCAAATATCGCAAGAGAAACTTCCGACTGTCAGTGAAATCGCTTTTCTCTGCTTCACTGGGCTGCATTCCTTTAAAAGCGGCGGCCTTGGCAATACGATCAGCAGCACTATTGCCTTCGGCCAACCGTCGCTCTTCACTGCCTTCTGAGAGGGCCTGTAAATCTTGGTGGGCCTTGACCTTACGCAAGCGCTGGCCGAGGGGGAACTGGCCTCTGCCAGCCAACGCCTTACACCCAGCCCACACGTTGTGCCGAGGGTACTCAGTACCTTGGTGCAGAGACAGAACTCCTTCATAATCAGAGTAAATGACTTCAACATCCCTAGACAGAATACGGGCCGCAACAGCGGCCAAATGCTCCGCGGCCCCCGAGGTTTGTAAAAACATCTGGCCGACTCGGCCACTGAAATGGGCAAAAGCTTCTCCGTTACGCATACAGACAACCGCGAAACCTGCGGCGTTGAAGACATAGTGACCGTGGTTAGTGCAACTACCATCTATATACACTTCCCCTTCGCTGAAAGCCTCCTGAGGGTGATCCCCTCCTGAGCACACCAAAACTCCCCAAACTCCAGGCCCGAACCAGGAGGGTTCTCACCACGATACTCGGGGACCAACTGGAAACCGAGGTACTGGGGCAGGGTCTGGGGAGGAGGCTCTCTTAAATTCTGAAGCTCCGCTGCCGAGAAATGAGTGGCTCTGAGATTCTCTGTCTTCGGGCAATAAAGTATGCGGTGGCCGAGGTTGTCCGAATGGTGGCCGCGCTCGCAGCCAGTCTCGACTTCGTATCCTGCTGCCTTGGCTCTGTCCATAGCCCATATACTCTGAGTGAGGAAGGCGAGGAGGGTTCCCTTCTGGTGGCCCAGGAGGTCTGGCGATGACAGAGCAGCACGGGCAGCAACCACATCTAACTGGGCGCTCGGGTGGCCGATCTTCTCGGCCGCCTTGGAAGCGAGCTGGCCGTGCCAGTCGAACTCCATGAGCTTTTGGAGGAGAGCGGGGGAATGTCCTGGGAGAGGGTACTCAATGCCTGAGGAGGTCACAAAAGTAAATGGTCCCTGGAATTTCCAACCGATCCTTTTAAGCGAAAGCACCGCGGCGCTGAGGGGGCCCCTGGAGGAGCCCCAAGATTTTGCAACTCTCGGGAGGATGGCCTCAGCCCAAACACGCAACTGCTGGAGACTGGCCACGGCAAGGTGGGGGCGGGTGGCGGCGCCCCAGACAAGGCGGTGCCGCATAATGGCAGGGCCCAGGGCAGCTTTCCACAAGGGGTCCTTGAGGATGAGCAGGGCCAGACTACGGCTGCGCGTCGGGCAACGGGGTCCCGCAGCAGCCAAAAACTGCGACCTAGCAGATTCCAACTGCGCGCCATTGACGCCAGTCACCTCGACTCCGAACGCGGCGGCCGCCTCGAGGCCAGTCCTATACAACTTATGAGTGTTACCCCCAGCTCTCTTGAGCATGCGAACCCTGTTAAGTCTTTTAAGCATCTTATCAAGACACTCCGAAATCTTACGCTGCTTTCTCCATCGGCGTTGGGGCCGTCCAGCCCCAATTTCACATCCCAGGTTAGGTCCAGACCTATCCGCGTTCGGGCCTGCCAGAGGCCCGAGAGCCGTCCTGAGTTGATCCTGAAGGGCTTGTTGGGACGCCAGGACCTGACTATTCTTGCTGGCGATCTGGCACTTAAACTCATTGATGATGCAGTCTGCCATGGACCTGGCAGCAATATTGAGCTGGCTGACGATGAGGCTGTAACTGCGGCCGTGGCACTGGAGCAGCAGATCATCTATAAACATCGCGAGCCTGATATGACAATGCGCCTGCGTCCACACGTCGAGCGGGGCGAGCACATACATTTGCACAAGATAGGTGGCCCAACTGCATCCTGCGACAATGCCCCTCCAAGGCTTGCCTACACTGACTGCGCAATCTTGTAGTGCAACAGTGCGTTCGCTGGCATATTGAGATAACATGATACGCAATAAACAACACGGAAAACCTGATTCAACAGCACGGTAAGCGAGACACGGCCGATCAACATGTTCGCAATAGTTAGATAAATCGTAGAGAACTTGGGCACTATATTGTTGATCTTTGTCAGAGCTATTGGACTCGCATTCCAAGGATTGTTTATATACTAATTCCACTATGGAGTGACCAGCCTGATGAGCAAGGTACGGCCTGCGGTGGTGTGCCTCCCACTCTCTGGCCGCTGACCTCCTGAGCCTAGCCCAGACTCTGTACAAAGCTGGAAGCATACCAATGGACCTGAAAGAAGGCTGACTGGCTGGGGCATCATGTTGTTTCAACTTCATCATAAGAGTCGATACGATACCTTGGAGCTGGGTTGGCAGATGTCCAATCTTTTCAAGCAGGCCGATAAAATCGCAGACAATCTCTGCCTGTTCATTATTCAACATACTGAAATGCCTAGGGTGGAAACCGTCCCAGGTAGAGGCAGTGGCATGGGGAAAACTTTTCGCAACCTGTCGTAATCTCTTGGGGCTGATGGGGCCCAGGGCAATACGATCATCTCTGTCAGGAACGAGCTGTGGTGGGGTATCCTGGGAAACCTGCCATATTTTTGCCAGACGATCAGCTTCTACCTGCAATATATGCTGGGGCCTGCCAGAATACTGCGACTTAAATGGAACTGACGAGGGCCTCCAGGCCTCCAAACGCTTGGTCCATCTGTGAGCCCATCCCATTCCTCCCTTCATGTTGTCCTGAACCCAATCCCTCCATGCCTTCCCGTCTGCAGCGTTCTCTGCCGCCTGCTCCTGATACAGGAGCTTGGTGACGTGCTCTAGCAGCTCGTCCAGAACCTGGATCGCCAGCGCCTGGTTCAGGGCACCAGCGCTGAAATCAACGTGCAACAAACCTGCAGCAACTCTAATCTCTGCAGCCCCTCCTTGAGGGACACGACGGTGGTGAACAGCTCAGGGCAATCCTCTAAGCTGTCGAGAGCGTCCTGAAACTCAGTGAGATTCCAGTCCTGAACACATCTATGGAAATCTTGAATCCTATTGATGAGCCATCTCAACGGGCCCGTGTAGGCCACCCATTTAGCCCTACTCCTAGCAGCCTTGGCCTCAGCGGGGACCATAAGAACCTGAGGGGGGTGGGCCCTGGGGTACTTGCTAGGCTTGAGGGGGGTGTTAGTTTTCTTACTGATTGTAGCTTCCAAGTCCTGGGCCAAGCTGAAATACACGTGGTCCAGGAGCACCGACTGCTGTTGATCGCTGAGCGGCCGTCGAGCATCATCGATCAATTGTGAAGCGCACTCCAATGCAGCAGCTGACTGGTGCCAACTCACTTCTGGCAATTGCGGGCCCACAGGAATACGTGTGGGTAGCTTCTGGGGCCTATGCAGCGTGGGGATATTAAAGTTATTCTCAACTACAATATCTAGCAGCACAGGTCTGTGAGGGGAGAGAGGATACGAGGAAAGAGTACGGGGGTTTCTGAGCCACGGCGAGAGGCCTTGGCTAGACAGGAAATAATCTAGAGTGGATTTGGTCTTCTTGTTTCTGTAGGTGGCGGTCGGCGGCACAAGCAGGGTCATCGTGGACCTGGACAGAAACTCTGCTTGGGCCAACCGAGAGGGGGCCAGGTTAAAATCCCCCGCAACCAAAACTGGATGGGTCAAATCATCCTGAAGTTGGCCTATGGCGGCCAGAAGTTTTAAATTGGTCTCGGAGAGACCAGCAGCAGCCTGAAAATAGGTACTACATATGGCGAACTTCGGGACCCCAGGAAGTTCAAGAAGCACCCCCGATAATCGAGCGGGGTCGAAAGCGGCGGAAAAAGTGATCGGCTGGACCCCCAAGTCCAAGCCATCCCGAATCAAAATCGCAACTCCCGAAACCAACTCATTATTCTCATTCCTGGCTGCAGGCGTGATGTAAGCCAGCCACCCCTGGGCCGAGCACCATTGTATCTGACGCACAATGCTATCTCCGTCGGCAAGCTTACACTCCTGAGCACAGATGTTCTTGACTGCACTAGACTGCGGCGAAAGAACAAACTTGCGAACAGCAGGCCAGCAAGAACCATTGATAGTAGCGATCTTATACGTGTTACCCTGGCGACTTCTGGCCCTGGGCGGCCGCGAGCGCAGCAGCCTCGGCCGCCGCCTTGACCTTCTTGGTCTCGGGGCCTGACTCACTCTGGATCTTGACCATGCCCTGGGCGACGTCGGACAGCGCAGCAGCCGCGCGGCGGCGGCCTTCAGACGTGTCCATGGCCTGCGCCTCTGCCATGGTCTCCAGCTCCTTGTCGTCGGCAGGAGTGGGGACGTGCTGGCCTGGGATAGGCGCGGGCGTCTGACTTGCCTGGCCATCATCAGGGCTCTCTCCAACTGCAGGGAAACCGTCGATGATGACCCCGCGCGGAGCCGCCACCGCAGGCGGGCCGCCGCCAGCTGGCGCGACCGAGGCCTGGGATGCGACGTGCTGCTGCTGCAAGGTGTCGAACATGGCGGCCAGCTCCGATACCTTGTCTCGAAGTTCAGGTGGGGCCAGTCCTCCCTGTGGCATTCTGGCGGATATAACTCCCTGAATGGTGGTGAGCAAATCTTCGTCTTTAGATGCCTCATACGCAGCCGCCTGGGTGGCCGCATTGAGCTGCGTCTCCAGCGTCTGCACTTCTTTTGTATTAGCTTCGATCTCCTCGACCAGCTTGCCGTGATACTCACTTGCCTCGACAATTGTGGTAACCAGCTCGCTGGCCTCCTGCTTCTGCGACTGCAACCTCTGGCGCAACACCTGGAGCTGATCTGACAGGGACTGTGCTTGCTGCTCCAGGCTCTTGGCCGACAACGCCTGCGCCTTGGCGAACTTGAGCTTGCCCAGCGCCGACTTGTGCTCCTCTCCATCTGGCTTCCACTTCTTCCAGAAGGTGACTTGAGCTTGAGCCAGGGCAACTGGGTCGTCAGCGGGAACTGCATCCTCGAAGGTGACCGCTCGGCCGCCTCCGCGCCCCAGGCCTGGTGGGCGCTCAGGACCGCGGGAGCCCTTCCTCCAGCGTCCTGGCTTGGCCGGCTCCTCCTCGACGTCAGGCCGAACATCCTGGGAGCCACCTCCACCACCTTGGGGTCGAGCTGGGGGACCATGATCCCCGCACTGCTTGAAACGGCTGCCACACTGCATACAATGACGAGAATTAGTCGAGCACCAAGCCCAGCCTTTGCAGCCCCGCTTCGAGCAGACCAGGTACTTCTTCTGCTGGGCGGGCATCTCCTGATGGCGGCACGCTGGCGCACGCACACGAGAGGCCCTATGGCAGCACTGAGGCGGGACGTGATTGTGCCTCTGCCTGGGGCTGACCAGGCAGGCACGGGGGCAGAGCAAACAAGCTTGGGCCCCAGCACCCAGGGCCTGCCCTGGATGGCAAAGCTGAGACCTGCACCTCCCGCGGTGTGCTCAGGTCTTGAGCCAGGAGGAGGAGGAGGAGGAGGAGGAGGAGGGAGGAGGAGGAGGAGGAGGAGGAGGAGGAGGAGGGGGAGCAGGAGGAGGAGGAGGAGGAGGAGGAGGAGGAGGAGGAGGAGGAGGAGGGAGGAGGAGGAGGAGGAGTTGTAGGAGGACGAGGAGGAGGAGGAGGAGGAGGAGGAGGAGGAGGACGAGGACGAGGACAGGGAGGAGGAGGAGCTGCTGGGCGGGGCCCTGCGCGCCGTGATGTGGGCCTCCCGTTGGACCGTTCTTGGCCCGAGAAGGCAATAACCCCATTAAAAAATCGACGAACGCCATACAACAACAACAACAACAACAACAACAACAACAACAACAACAACAACAACAACAACACCAACAACATCAACAACAACAACAACACCAACAACACCAACAACACCAACAACAACAGCAACAACACCAACAACACCAACACCAACACCAACAACAACAACAACACCAACAACAACAACAACAACAACAACACCAACACCAACACCAACACCAACACCAACACCAACAACAACAACAACCACAACCACAACAACAGCAACAACAACAACAACAACACCAACACCAACACCAACAACGACAACAACGACAACAACAACAACAACAACAACAACAACAACAACAACAACAACAGCAACCATCACAACAACAACGTTTCTTGCCACTGGGGGGGCCCTCTCGGGGGCCCTCCTCAGGGCCTCTGGATCCGGGTCCGAGGTTGGAGGAACAGTGAAGTACATAGACGTCCACTTTCGAAGGTCCGCGCGGTCTTCGCGGATCGGCGCTGGACCCCCTCCATGGCGCGCGAAGCGCGCCAGGGGCGGCGCCGGAAGCGCCGCCAGGAGGGCCCAGCGTCGATCCAAGAAATCCGCGCGGGCATCTGGAAGTTTATGCTTGTGCCGTGCCTTGTTCTTCGAGAGGTTCGAGGCCTCCTGCATGGGGTCGGAGTCGATGGGACGGGGGATCGCGCCGCCTCTCCAATGCATCGCCGAGGCATCGGCGAAGTCGACGATGCGCCGCCGTCGGCGTGGAGAAGGTCGGATTCCACATCGAGCCGCATCGCCGATGCATCGGCGATGTCGCGCGATCCTCCGGCACCATTCTTCTCGGACCCCATGTGGGAGGCCTGGACGTGAGGCCATCTGCTGAGCCTCCGCGGAGACCTCTGGAGGCCTCTGTCTGGATCACCGCGGGGATTGCCAATGGGAAGGAGAGTCATAGGTGGGTGCTTACGTGGGTTATATCTGGCCTAACCTCGCATCTGAGTGGGCATCAAGTGTCCGAATTGGCTCAAAGGGGTGAGGAAATGGGCAACGAGGGCCCAGCCAATTTAGTAATGCTATCTGACTCCCTAGACACTTACTGTCAGGCTCTTTATTGTTGCAAACTAATATGAGACGACGGTGCCACCTTAAAATGCCATGGATGCGAAATACTGCCCCCGGTGCACTGTCGGGAGTTTGCAAGGGGCTGGCATGAGAATCGCTCGCCAACGGAAACCTAGCTTCTGGCATTGTTTGAGTAGGCGGTGGCGTCACAAACAATTGCCGCACGTAACAAACGAACCACATAAAAGCGAGTAGGAGTACAGCACGCGGAACGAAACTTTCCGAAAGCGGTCCTTGTAGACGATGTCGCCCACGGACACGCGGCAGCCCCGGTCTCCCAGCACCTGCGCCTGCAGCCTGGCGCCGACGTCCTCCACGACCACCTCGCTGCGGATGGCGCGAGGGGGGGGCGCCCGCGGTCGGCGCGGTGGGGGGGCCGCAGCTGAGAGCTATCCTGCCGTGAGCGGCGCCAGATTCAATTGGGACTCCTCCTCCCCCTCCCTCCCTCCCTCCATCTCTCCTCCTCCCCTTCCTTCCTTCATCCTCCTCATCATCTCCATTTTCCCCCTCCTCATCCCTTTCTCCTCCTCCATAAAAAAACAACTCCTCCCTGTCGCACCCCGAGACGTGTTGATAGGGCGGGCCGGGCGGTTCGCCTGAGACTTCCTCACGACTTACAATCCTTAAGCTCATGATTTGGAAGAATTTCACGGGTCAAGGGCGGGTTGGCTTCAACATGTGGCTATCGCCTTAGAACTGCGCACATCCGTCTCAAAGGCGTGCAAGGGTTTCACGGATGAAGGGCAGGTGGTTGCCAAAATGTTGCTCTCGCAAGAGATTCAAAGATGGAAGCCGGTACGTTTTCAAGATGTGACTCTCGCCTTCGCGCCGTGCACAGCCGTTTTTAAAGTGTGCAAGAAATGGACACAGTAAGGGCGTGTGGTTTTCCACATGTGGTTCTCGCCTTAGTACATTGCAACATTCGATACCAGCACGTATTCAACATTTTCAAACACGTCTCGCACATGGCGGGCGGGTGGTTTCCCAATGAGGCTCTCGCCTTAGCGCCGCGCGCATCCGTCTAAAAAGGTCGCAGCTTCGCGGATGGAGGATGGCTCTTTTCCAAATGTGGCTCCCGCCTTCGCGCCGCCGCATTCGTCTGAAACATGTGCAAGAAGTTTTACGGATGGAGTTCGGGTGATGTTCAACATGCTGCTCTCGCCTCAGCGTCTCGCACATTCGCGCACCAATTTGCAACCGTTGTACACATGCAATTCGCAAATGCGGTTTTCGCTTGAAAGCCGCGAGGAGTCATTGCAAAACATTAGAACGTGTTGACGGGTTCTTGTGCTTGGCCCTCGCGAGAATCGTGTTCCGGCACTGTGTAGGGTTTGCAGGGCGTCGCAGTCACGTTTGTTCGCGGCGTTGGAGTCCCAGGAATGGTGTTCTGGCACGATTAAGGATCGCCACGGCGCAACAGTATAGTTGATTCACGGCGTTGAAATACAAGGGGTGGTGTGTTGGCACGACAGAGGATTCTGAAACGGGTGCTTCCAACGGGACACTTCCAAAAGTGAAGGTAAAGCATTGTAGGGACCCATGGTGAGGGAGCGTGGAAGGAGGGTTGATTATTTCATCGTTGACGCGTCTTGGGTTTACATTGGTCCCCTCTCCTCCTCCTCCTCCTCCTCCTCCTCCTCCTCCTGATCCTCCTCCTCCTCCTCCTCCTCCTCCTCCTCCTCCCCCTCCTCCTCCTCATACTCTTCTTCCCTCCTCCTCTCTCCTCCTCTCCTCCTCCACCTCCTCCTCCTCCTCCTCCTCCTCCTCCTCCTCCCTCCTCCCCCCTTCCTCCTATTGCTGCTGGTGGCATTGGCCCGAGAGGACGCAGCCCCCCCCCCCCCCCGCGCGGCGATCACCGTCGGGGGGTGATCAAACTCCTGGCGTCTCTCTGCCGCCAGGGACGCTGCCTTGCTAAAAAACGAGCGGCAGCTTGCAAACCTCGGTGGGACGGCGTCGCCCGCACGCAGGCCCGAGCCCCGCTGGCGGGCCGGGTCGGTCCTTCCTGTCCTCTCTCCCACTGCCACACTTAAAGGGGCCCTGGGACACACAAATAAATAGACACAACAGACGGGATTCCCCATCATTTTCCATATGATGTGGGTTGTTGTCTTCCCCCCCAGTTCCCATATTTTCCCATCTTTTCCAGGGAATCGACGATTAACCCAGCGCGGGCGATAATAATCAACCAAGAATAATGAAAAGATTTTCCCGGGGATGAGGATGATGCTGATGATGACGATGACGATGACGATCACGCGCTCCACTCTACGGTCAATCTGCGATTCGACGCCCAACATTGCAGTACATGGCCCCGTCCGGCCACCTCAGCCCCTCTTCCTCCCGCGGCGGCAGCGGCGCGATGGCGCCTAGGATGGCCTCCGCCTCCGCGGCAACCACGGCCGCGCTGATGGCTGCTAGCATCGCCCGGCTCGGGGGCGGCGCCGGGAGGCCTCGCGTGGCCCACGCGTGGCTCGCCGCGTCCACGTCGATCTGGCGAAGGATTGCCAAAGCATCCTCTCCCAGCCGGCCGCCGATGCCCACGGCGAAGGCCGCGACGCGGTCGCCATACCGCTGGCGCTTGGAACGCTCCGCGGCGCGAGTCGCCAAATGCACGTCCCTGGCTGCGGCTCGAGCCTCGCCGTCCGGATATGAGTGCACTGTGACATCCAGCCATGTCCACGTCACGCCAGCGGGCCACCTCCAGCAGACGTCCAAGATCGCCTCCTTGACACCGTCGTCGCGATCCGTCTGGTAGAGCTCCAGAATGTGCGACTCAACTTCGACGATCGCGCCGGCCTTGCGAAGCGCCGCGGCGACTGCAATCTTGATGTCGTTGTGCCACCGCACCCGGAAGGGGCCCACCATGCAGCGGGCCGCATGCACACCACTGATGTCCAGCTGCCGCCCGCAGGGCTGCCCACGCCTCGGGCCGCCACGATAGCAGTGAGCACACGCCTGGCCAGGCTCCAGAACAGGCGCCCCCAGGCGCCTCCTCGCGGTTGGCAGCCAGCGACGGTTGCCAATCCACGCTGTCGAGGGGGCTGGCGCCGCTGACCACCAGAGGCCCGCTCCTCTGCCGCCTCTGTCCAACAGGTTGGCGGCGCGCTCATGCGGCAGCGCGGCCACGAGGTCGGCGGCCCGCGGCGCCGCCGGCCCGCGGCCCAACCTCCCCGCGAGCCGGCGTCTGCCCCCGCCCCTGTCTACGTCCCCGATGTCGGCCCCCGGGCGAAAGTAGCGAGGGCGGAGCGGTCGGGGTCCAGGGCATGCGCCTGCGCATCCTCCGCGTCGCGGGCGAAAGTGAACAGCTCCTGGACGGGCAGGTCCCCAACCCATGGCGATGCGGCGTATCTGGCCGCCGCCCCTGGCTCCAACTCGATCCGGCCAGCGTCCGCCACGACGCCGCTCGCGGCGAGCACGTCCCTCGCCTCGATCGCGGCGGGCATGTCCGGGCCCACTTGGAACGGCAGCCCAGCCAGCAAGGCGACGCGCTGAGCATCGAGTGCGGCTGCAACCCAGCTGCTCCAAAACCCGGCTGCGGCGTTATCGACGCGCGGCACGTTCACGGCAAAGCCCCCGAAGAAGATGGGAAGCGCGAGCTGTTCGGCCATCGCCGGCGCGAGCGTCGTGCCGATGATGGCCGCAGCAGCGCTCGCGATCTCAGCGCAGAAATTCCCCAAGACCTGGACTGATAGCGCCCGCGGGGGGCACATGCGAATGTCATGGCCCAGGAGATGGGAGATACCGAACGCCAGGATCGCCCATGCGGCCTGCCGCGTGTCGTCGTGCGTGCAAGACCCCACGAACGCACGGAGCCTCTCGCAGAGCCGCGCGGCCCTGGCAGCCCTGCCCGCCGCCGGCCCGACGCCGCACTGCTCCGCGTCTATGTCCAAGGTGTCCCCCCTCAGCGCCGTGCCGAGGACGTGCATGCCGCCGCGTGACCGCCTCGTCATCTCTTCGAGCCGGGCAGTCGCGCTGTCTGGCTCCCCCATCCCTTTGTCGAGGCCTGGGAACCAACAGCCGCACTTCGAATCGGTGAGCGCGTGGCCGCCGGCGGCCGCGACCGACCTCAGCCGCGGCCACACTTGCACGATCGACGAGGCCGCCCCCGCCAAATACCAATCGTCGGCGATGCCCGTGGTCGCGAGGGCATCTCCTGGTCGCTCCGGCATGTGGGCCGCGAGGACGCCCCGCACCATGCGCGCGGCGTGGAAGAGGAAGGCGAGCTGCATCATGATCAGCCGCGACCCGGCGCCCCCTCCCCGCCAGCTCAGGATGCGCCTCCACTCGTCCCCGACCTTCTGCCAGAAGGTGTTGCACGCTTTCCCCCTGTGCACGAAGAGGAGGAGCGCGATAGTCGGCTCCGCATTGAAGACGACCTGCATGACGACGCTCCGGAGCATGGCCCCGTAGGCGTTCTTCAGGTCGAGTTTGACAATGGCCTCTGGCGATTGCCCCGGCGCTGGGGACTCGAAGCGCCGCGCCCAGCCCCTCAGCGTTCTGGCAACAATAGGGCACCCATCTGGCGTGAGCCCGAGATTGACGGGCTCCAGGCGGCGCCGGGCTGCCAGGACCCTGCCGGCGAGCGCGGCCGACTCGGCAAACTTGATGAGGTGCTCGAGCAGGGCTATGCCGCGGAGCTTGCGCCCCCGAGCTGCGTCGGGCCTGTCACTGGCCCCCTGGTCGATAGGTCCCAAGACGCCCGACCCCCACAGCACGGCGTCCTCCCGAGACCACGCTGCAGATGCCGAAAGGCTCGCGTATGCTGCAAGCGCTCCAACTCCACCATCCGGGGCAG